GGGGCACAGGCCGGCCTGGGGAACCCCCCCCCCCCCGCCGAGTGCACAAATTTTTGTGCACCGGGCCTCTAGTCATTAATAACCTTAAATGTAAATGGATTAAAGGCTCCAATCAAAAGACACAGGGTAGCTGAATAGATACAAACATGACCCAACTATAGGCTGTCTACAAGAGACCCACCTCAGAACAAAAGACTCACACAGGATGAGAGTGAAGGGATGGAAAAAACTTTTCCATGCAAATGGAAAAGAAAAGAAAAAAAGTTGGGTAGCAATGCTTATATGTGACAAAATAGACTTCAAAATGAAGTCCATCACAACAGACAACAAAGGTCACTACATAATACTAAAGGGATCGATCCAACAAGAGGATATAACCCTGGGAAACATAATGCACCCAATATAGGAGCACCTAATATATAAAATAACTTCCAGAGGACTTTAAAGGAGAAATCAACAATACAGTCATAGTAGGGGACTTTAACACCCCTCTCACTTCACTGGATAGATTTTCCAGACAAAAAATTAACAAGGAAATAGTGACTCTAAAGGATACACTGGATCAGATGGAGTTAACTGACATTTATAGAACATTTCACCCCAAAGCTGCAGAATGTACATTATTCTCAAGTGCACATGGATCATTCACAAATATAGACCACATGTTAGGACACAAACCAAGTCTCTACAAGTTCAAGAAGATTGAAATCATATGAAGCATCTTCTCAGATCACAGTAGAATGAAATTAGAAACGAACTACAGTAAAAATACCCCAAAACATTCAAACACATGGAGGCTAAATAGCATATTATTAAACAATGAATGGGTTACCAACAAGATCAAGAAAGAAATAAAAAACTTCCTGGAGCCCTAACTGGTTTGGCTCAATGGATAGAGCGTCGGCCTGGGGACTCAAGGGTCCCAGGTTCGATTCCGGTCAAGGGCATGTACCTTGGTTGCAGGCACATACCCAATAGGGAGTGTGCAGGAGGCAGCTGATCGATGTTTTTCTCTCATCGATGTTTCTAACT